CTTGAGCCTAGGTCTGATACCCAAATCCCCACTCCCAATTTGTACGGATGCTGATATTATATGACAGGCATTTTGCCAAATACTGGACTGAATACAAAGATAAATAAGATATAATGTCTTCTATTCTATAGTTTATAACCCTCAGATAGGCATTATGACTACTGAAGAGTCCTAAATATAAACTCAAAAACAATTTCTCCACTGCATCTTGCCACTCTTATTCAGAAAAGAAAGTGCTGAAACATCTATCTAGACAATCTGGATTTCCATTTGTTGACATTGTGCCAAATACCAATCCAATCCACTATGTCTACATTCCCTTTTATACCTAACTGCATCATTTTTCACCAGTTGTTCAAATTGGAGGTTGGAAATTATGTTTGATTTCTCCCTTCCTCTCAGAGCCTATACTAGTCACTTTTTTTCATCTACCTTTGAAATTTTTCACGACTCCACAGCTCTCAATTTAATTTCCATTGTGGCATCATAGAAAGAGAGTTGACCTCAGTTCTCACTCCCACACTTTCTGATTGTATGACCCAAGACAAACTACATAATCTCTCTCTGAGCTTCAATGTCTTTATTAGCCAAATATCTAACCTATTGGAATGATTTTAGCTTAGAGAGAGGTATATAAAATGGCTACTTCATATAATAACTATGGTGGCAGCTATTAATACCACTGTCCTATTTTAAGTCCCTGTGGTCTCTTAAAATACAATGCCTAGTACATAATAGGCACTTGCATATCCATTGAAAGAACAAATGATTTCAGATGTGTAGATTGCGATTAGCAGCTAAAGCTGCTTGACCTGAGCAGTTTTCACCAAAGAATTCTCAAAAAAGTTACCTGTTGGGTTATTCTTCATAATGAACAGAAATGGATGATTTGCTATAAATTGGTTTCGAGCCAGACTCATAATCACAGGGATGTGTATGCCTATGAAATAGAGACAATGGGTATTTATATATTCACATTAAAAGATCAGTAAAGGGAATATTAAATACATCCATAATACTTTTTGTAGACAGGAAAGGTCATTTTGTGTAAGAGTTAACATGTGGAAAAATAACCATTTTCTAAATACAGACAAATTTGTGATAAATTTTAAAACTGAAGTGCAGAAGAATAAATATTATATCATTCATGGAAGAGTTCTAAATTCATAAGTATGCTCAATGAAGAAGAAAGCCAGATACTAGATTCAATTTAGTGGAAGCAATTGAAAAATTTTATCTTTTAAACAGTAATTTTCTGCTCACTTTTAATTTACATTATATGATTTATTCTCACAATATTTTCAATTCTTAATTTCTATTTGGATATGTTTGCACTTCATTTCTTTACTTCAGGCTTGTAGTAATCACATCTGAGTTCAAATTAATTTATTTTTTACTTACTCTTCCAAAATTATTCTGTAAGCTCAGAGCTTTTAGGATTTGTGAAGTACATGTAGGTAGAATTTTTATTATGAGATTTAAATAGAAATTTGCTGCCTTAAAAAATATTTGCTATGATAATTAATATCATGTTGCTCCATTATGGACTTTGTCAATATTTAGTATGGGAAAATTTTAAAGGTTGTATGTTTTTCCTAGATTAAATATTTTTATGCTCAATTCCGACGTTGTCTTTACCAGTAATACAAATAATTTTGTACAATTCTATTTTAACCCCAGGAAAAATAAAATTAACATGTATAATTAGAATTTTAAAACAAGCAAATATAACTTTATGAATATAACAGGAATAGCACTGTCTTATCTGGAGTATCAGGGCCATGCTGTGCAAATCACCTGTGAATATAGGTTCATGTCTGAATCATTGAGAAAAATCCAAAAAGTAAGTCAGGTCAGTTTTACCCCATTTGCAGTGAAAACTTGGACTTTTTTTGTTCTTGAGCAACCCTTGAGCAGATTTCTGAAAGTCAACATACTCATGCTGACTATTCTGAGGAGTAGTACATCATGATCACTGCTGATTCATGCTGCCTTCTCTTAATGATGCTCACAGCTTCCCTAGAAAATTCTAGACTTACTTATTGCAGTGGACAATAGCAGAAAGGGCTCTGAACTTGAAGTCAGAGATTCTAATTTGAGTCAAACTCTGTTATCAACTAATATTACGACTTCAGGAAAGCCATTTTACATTGCTGGCCCTGTTTCTTCACCAATATAATGAGAAGATCAGATAATTATCTAGAAGGACTCCTTCAATTCTGTTTAAAAGCAGCTGAAAAATTTGTCTACCTGAGCCAGCAACCTTGTCCAAATGCAATCTTATTATTTCTCTGAGAATTGATATAGCCCATCCCCTACAATCTGAGTTCCTTGAGCACAGCAATGCAAAATCCTTCAAGAGATGACAAAATAGTAATGGAGTCCAGTGTGTCCTACCCAGATGTCAAAATCCATTGGCTCTATGTAGCATTACAAATTAATCAAGAAATTAAGTGGATACAATTTTTAAGATATTTATCAATAAGACATTTTAAATGATGAATATCTTTTAAATATTGATTAAAATCCAAATAGTATGGAGAATTAAAATAGACTTATTAGGAATTCATCATAGTTGTTTGTTTATTTCTAATTGATTTTAAGGCTTTTTTCCAGTTATTTTTCAAATATTACTTCTATTCATCTTACATACTGCTTAAAATGTCATTTCTTCAAGGAAATGCAGTATAGAAGAGTGGTTCTCAAACTTAGAATATATAAACAAATCACCTAGTGATCTTGAAAAATAAGATTTGATTCTAGGCCTGGAGTTGGGCCTACGATTCTATATTTCTAACAAATTCCCAAGTGATGCTATTGCTGCTAGTCCATGCACTACATTTGTAGTAGCAAGGGCAAGCTGCAAGCCACTATGAACCACTGGTTCTCAACCCTGAATACACACTGCAATTACTTAGGAAAACAAAAATATTGGAGCCTGGGTTTCACTTCCAGATACACTGATTTAATTATTTTGGGATATAGACTGGGCATAAGATTTTTAAAAGTGTCCCTCGTGATTCTAATGTGCAGCTAAGTTTGACAGCCATTGCCATAGAGATAATAACAAGAACCAAATTTAAAAAGGGGGGATTAACTTGATGTAATGGATGAGTGAAATGAAACATGGTTACAAAAAACAAGCATTCCTAAACAATAATGATATCATATTTGAGCCCTAAAATGTTCTCCACAAGTCCTATCGCCTACTTGGTAGGTTATCTTATTTACAAATAAGCAGATATCAATAGATGCGCCTCAACTCCTAATCAAACAACTTCCCTTCCCTTTTGTATTATTCTGTGACTGAAGAGATGTATGAATGGCTTATACAACCATTTTCTTTTTTCCTCCTATAATGTACTAGACAGCAGAAGAGAAAAAAAGACCCGAATACTGCAAAAGGGCCTTCACCCTCATATTCATCCTTCCTTCATCTTGCCTCCTAGCTTATCCAGAAATCATTTGTCCTACCAGTTGAGGCTGCAGCTTCACTGCCGTCTTCATTTATCTCAAAGAAAACTTTTTGCATGACTTGGGAAACATATACTTCAGATGAATCTGGTAAAACATATGAAAGTATGTTTAAGGGTTAAAACCAAGAGCCATTGCCTATTAGGTCCCAGATTAATAACATTTTCACATGAACAAAGAAAAGGAAACAAGCACTTTTCTATTTAGTCAATTTGCTAGATACAAAGGTGGTTTCGGTGGTTTAGCTCTTAGAGAAAAGAATAGATATAGAGATAGTCAAGTTTTTCCCTGATATAAAAGGTAAAGATGGAAGTGTATAAGCCTCAAATCAGGTATCCAACTAAGTGAAATATTTAATGGACAAAGGGTTTTGCCCCCCTTAGCCATGGTCTACAGTTAGGATGAAAGAGGCTTTTCAGAGTTGAATTAATCCCACCCTATGTATTATATTCAACCTCAAAGCCAACATACCTTTCAAATTCTGTATTTAGTTTTGATCAGAGTTTAAAACAAAATTTACTTTCCTTCAAGACTGGGAGGCTGGGAAAATCTAAAGAACTACTGTGTCATATGCTACAAAATCACTTCAGAGCTATGCTTTAAAAACTGTTAAAATTTTCAGTGTCAGTGTCTTACAATGTTTTATTCTGGTGTGGATACAAGCTGAAAGAAAATGCTTTTCTTCTACTCTTGGTGGAACTGATGCATGCGTGAAGCTTTCCTGGTATAGTGACCTGCCAGGGTAGTCTTCTTGAAAAGGGGGGAGTGAAACATGAGTCCAGAAGCCATGTCAAGCTGGCCTGATAAGACCACATAGATCTGACAATGTTCCTTAGAGGGACAGTGGAAACATGCTCTAGAAAACTGGCTGGTACTTAGTTGGCTTACAACAAATACTTTTCAAATAAATGAATCAATGAATCTGAATATGTCTAGTGATGGAATTCTATAAAATGGAGAAAAGAGGACATCCCCACTATCAGTGTAGATTAACTGAAATCCAGGAGAATGGTCTCTCAAGGTTAGGCAATAAAGCACCTTCTTCTCCCAAGACTGCCTGAAATAAAACAGGATTTACAAATAGAACACAAAGTAAATGACCTAGGTACCCACACCAAGAGTGAAGGCCAAAATGAAGGTTGGGGAATAATGAAGAATTTCACCCAGTTTAGACATTTGGTCTCGTGCATTCCGTCTCAATGTAGACAGGGCCGGGTCTTACGGAAAGAACAGGAGTTGAGAGATGATGGATTTAGAACAAGGAATCTGGACACTTCATAAACTCACTGGTTTCTACACCTTTGTAATAATTCCTTACCTTAATTTTTATGAAAATTCTAGGTATATATTTGTTAAATGAAGAGAACAGAAAAACTTGTGTAGCTTTGCTAGAAGATGTACAAGTAAATATTAATGTGTCACCTTCTCCAGTTGCTTCTTTTTGTATTTCACATTTACTAAACATCTACTATGTGCCAAATGTTAAATCAGGTGATTTACATACATTCTTTTATTTATTTCCACCCAAATCACTACATATTATCTCACTTAACAGATTAGAAAATTGAGGCTCAGAAAGGTTAAGTACTTTACTACATGTGACACAAGAAGTAATGACAGAGTGAGAAGTGAAAAATTTATCTCAAAGTTTCCAAAATAAATCTATAAGAACATTTTCTTCAAATCTTGTGAACTACATGAGAACGAGGTAGCGTTCTCTCATGTAGAAAGTTCCTGTTGCACTAGTGTTGGACTGGTTCACAGTGGCCGTTAGTGAATGTTTACTGCACAAATGATGAGTGGTGATAGCAGGGAATTCACTGTGCTCCGAGCCGCCAGCTGTAGTGTCAGCATGGACTATGGCTGTTCCATTCCAGGCAGTACGACAGAGCCAAAGTCGTTAAAACAGCTCAAATAAGTAACTCAGGCAGGAAAGAGCAGAAAATGCTAGGCATTTATTTCTCTCTGCTCAGGGTTCATTCCCGTGAACAAATTCTTTTATGAAGCATTTTGGAGGTATTTTCTTTAAAACTCTGTAAAAGGAGATTTTATAGAAGTTACAGATTGCTGGGAATTTGCAGAATAAGTAGCTGTTTGAAATGTCTGAGGTATATCAAGTAAGTTTTCTAAGGCTAGAAAAAAGTTGAAGAGAACGAAGTGCTTGAAAAATGGTTTGATTTTTCTGCGGTAGCTGTGTTCCAAGGTATACTGATATAGCATCTTGCTGCAGTATTTAATGTTGACTGTTTCATACCTGGTGCTGATGAAATTGTCAAAGTCAGGTCTGTCAGTGTGAGAACAAGTAGCATCGTGTGAGAAGGTGATAATGAACATTGTTGACACCTGTGAACCTCACTCACCTCCCCCACCAGGAAAGCTTACTCATTCTATTCATTTACCCACACAATTGATAGGTGACTAAATTAATGAATACCTCTCCAAAGCCCAGGTATCTATATAAAAATACACAACATATTTTCATAATACTTCATGTTATAATACAAAAACCCATCAGACAGGCAAGTTCCCTTTTTGTAAAACAGAAGACTAAGTTTAAAAGAGGGTAAATAGTTTGGGACAAATTGGCCCTCCTCATCCATTTCTTTTTTCTCCGAGTTATTTTTGAACTAGTGAGTCCTTCCAGGACCAGAAGAATTAAAAGACCGTCTTGGCTTTGCTGTGCAAGTGAGCATCTTCACCACGCAGGAGCCTCCAGGTGCAAGTTAGCAAAATCGCTCCATCTTCTCTGTTTTGTTGTCGCTTCCAAGGCCTCTGTTGCTAAATCAAAAAGCTGTAGCATTACAATTTCTTGGTTGTGTTCATCATTCAAGCAGATTGTGGAGGCCTATTTCATGGGCTCTACTATTAGAGAATTAACATTTGCAAATTGGTTTATGAGAGTTTTATTAGCTCTGCTTATATGAGAGACTCAAAGTCGTAATTCCCATTATTCAGATAAGAAAACCCAAACAGGGCAGAAATAAAATATGTAGATAAATTTTATCTACATAGTTTTATTAGAAGTTTGACTGGAATGCTCATCTAAGATTCTAAATGCTTTTTGACTTTCATTAAGGAAAACTACTTAAATGCAAAATGAAGTGCTTGTTCACAGATCAACATGACATTTATTCACTGTGTATATGTTTATGGGGACCAAATCCTCTTCCAATTTTAAGATCAGTTAGTTAATACAGTCCTAAGAAAACAAATTAACATGATAATATCAGAATTATTTATCATACTACCTGTTAGTCCAGAAAGGTCACAGCCACTGCTAAATATCTCAGTTATGTTCAATGAATACAAAGCTTCTTTGAAGTCTATTTTTTGTTCTACTTTAAATCTGTTTTTAAAAAAGATGAAAAAGAAAAGTCTTGAAACACTGTACACATTTGCTACCAAAATTTTTTTACGTGGATGCTCACAAGAGATTATGTTGTGAAATATTTTGTTTTTATTATCCCAATTACATTTTCTCACATTTCATACCATTTTGCCAGCTCTACCAATCAATTCTGGGTTGCTAATAACTTGCTTCCTAGGTAAATGGTTGGAAGGAAGGAGGAAGAGAATACTCTATTTTCTTTTTTTAAAGTAACAATTTACCCAATAAAACAGGGTGAGAAGTCTAAGTTTTCAATTGTTTGGCTCCTTCCTAAAGTCTAAAATTTCCCTCCAGAGTCTCTATGTACTCGGGTTTTTCACACCATCAAAGATGGTTCCTGGCAGATGTCCATGATACTACGAACAGAGAACAGGAGTTAACCGTCCTTGGAGAAAATTGTTGGCTATTAAGGAACAGAGAGGCATTTATTACCTATTATCCATCCCACTCACTGTCACACTTGATGTGACTTTCTTGAGTTTATGCACACACCTAACATCTTCCCAATAAAAGGGTAAAGGAGAGGAAACTAAATTTCTTTCAAAGGAAATAAAAGATAAAAATTATAGGAGAGGAAATGAAAAAGGAGCTAGCAAGTGTTTCCAATGCAGGACCATACATTAGAACCGTAGCATGTTGCTCGCCTCTCTCTCAATTTACGTCACCTGTGAGGAGGGACCTTAACCAGAGAATATCAGAAGATTCTCACCAGCACTGATCTAGGACTCCAACCCAAAGCCATCATTGAACCTCACTTTCCCATTTAAATAAAAAGAAAAAAAGAAGCTTGTACTTATTGACTTCATAGATGCTTAAAGCATCAGTTTGCATTTTAAAATCAGATTGGAAATTTTGGTTATGAAAAAAGGGCAAATGTAACATTCTTAAACAGGGAGCTATACATATATTTCCTACATTAGCAAAATTCCCAGGCAACTCCTGTGGGAGGAGCTTTATCTATGCCCCAAGACATTTGCCTCAGTGCTCCTTACTTTGGATACATACACTATTGCTTGAGGATCCTTGCTTATCTAAAAGGTAGGCCCAGCTCTGGGGCTAGAAATTAACTTGGGCAATCAGCCTAATTAGATCATTATTTTAATTGCCAAATACTAAACAGCTTCTTAATTATAATTCTTCAAAACGATGAACATGTTGTGGCAAAACTTTACTGGGCCTAAATTATTTGTTGGTAAAATAATACATACTTTTGGAAGATGTTAACTCATTTAGAACCCTAGCTAACTGGAATGGACACAACATGGACATTAAAATCTACTGATAATGAAAATAACTTATGCCAACTATTTTCAACTTCTTCATTGCAACTTTTTACTAAGAAAATTAATATGTAGCATGATGATTTTGAAGGTTTTTTTCCCCCTCTGTTTTTATTACCACGCTCTTTAAACCAAATGGAGTACGAATTTTTAAAAGATGGAGAATATATGTTCTAATCCACCTCAGAATTGGCTATTTTTAGTATAATAGTAGAATAATTTCAGGATAATGACAAGAATACTGCAAGACTTATTACAGCTTCTAATAATGCCTAATTATCACTGGATAGTTATTTAAGTAATAGTCCTGCTCATAATACAGTCCAACGAAACTGACAGCAATAGAAGCCTATTCAGGTATCTAATAAAAAGTATAATCTACAGACAATTTCTAATTATCCATAATTATTGGAGCCAGGTGTGAATCAGCACTTCCATGTGTTAGGTACTTAATATAGATTAAAGTTTTTAATTGTCTCAAAAATCCTAGGAAGTCGACATTATTATTTCCATTAACATATAAGAAAGTAGAAGCTTGATTTCCAGGCTCAAGGTCAAGATAGGAGCCAGAGCTATGATTTAACCTCAGGCCCAGTTGAAGTCAAAACTAAGGAGCTAACTCTCACTTCCTTCTAAGCAAAATATAATTCAAAACCACCAATTTGATCAATATATATATATAATGCCCCTCTTCCAAAGTTTGTGAGTCTTAGTGTTTATCCCTTATTTGTAGTCCATTTTTCCTTTTCCTTGAGCCTCCCTTAAAATCATCAAAAGAACATCAGCCAAACATAAAAGAATGAGCAACAAAAGTGCTGACTAGACAATTGGTAACCAAATAATCATGAAATGGACTTTTTAGCATATGCAAACATTATTTATTTGCTTAAAATCAGCCGTTTACTTCCAAATGTAATCATTGGGATTAAATGGTCTCACACAGGTAAAAGCTACAGAAAATGAAAGAAAATAATGCACAATTTTGTTTTAAGAATGACTTGATCTTGTCCTCCAGGCTCTACTGGAGACTGGTGTTGTCCCTTTCTTCTCCTTTATCCCCAGAGTTCTTGTTTAATGAAAAAAAAGTCCTGGATTAATCTCCTCAGGCCTATCCTTATTACTTGAAATCCCAGCTTTGGTACAATGGGCTTGAGTCATTCTTGGATTGTTCAAATCTGGAACCGACCAAACCATATCTTAGCATTGTTTACAGGATTTACAAAAAAAACAACATAAGCCTTGACAGTGGTGGACCTAGACTATTATGTGGGTACATAGTAACTTCTGGTCACTTTCCAACCAATTACCTCATATGCTCTGTGTGTGTGTGTCTGTGTGTGTGTGTGTGTGTGTGTGTGTGTGTGTAAGTGTGTGAGAAATGATCTGTTAGCCTCATGGGCTGAGTTAAAAATGCTTTCTGTCACTTATGAAATGTATCGGGACACTGTTTAATGAACACTTGGTATTCCAAGGTGTATCAGTGTCCAATAGGTCAAAGTAAATGAACACTTTGTAATCATTACTGCAGATGGTCATGACATACCTATTCTCCTCTCCAGTCTCATTTTTCCTGCCTTCCTTTTCTCTCATCCATACACAATTCACATTCACCCACTTATAGATCCAAGGCTGGCCAAACGTGGGATTGATTTCTAGTCTGGTAAGAATATGACACTTTGTGTCCTAGGGCAGGTGTCATCTCTTTTGAAAAGTCTCCTTGGCATGGCTTTTCCAGATCTCATATCCCACCCATCACCCTGTCACTGACCGCTCTGTTCTGTGCTCCCGTCATGCTTGCCCCATAGTGCACTTGTTTTCAGGCCCCTGTCTGTCCTCTTGGAATACTGGCTCAGCCATTCGTTAGCTGTGTGACCACAGACAAGGTATTTTAACCTGCCTGCATCTCTTCTGTAACCTGAATATAAAACTAGATTTCCACCAAATTGTTTGTAAAAATTAAATGAGATATGGTGGGGGAGCATCTAGTACTGTGCTGGCATTATAATGGAGGGTCAATAAATGCTAGAATTGAAATAGAATAATAATAATAATAGTAATGGGTTAATATTCAGTACTAAAATTTTTATATATATTATTTCATGGAATCCTCACAACAACACTAAGAGGCATATATTATCATTATTCCATTTGACAATAAAAGAAAAATCTTAGATAAGTAAGGTCATTTGCTAAAGTTACATAGTAAGAAGGTGACAGGGCTCTTGGTTTTCAATATTATGGTCTATTATTAGTGATATGGTTTCAAAAGTTGATAAAAGATACTGTGAGATGCCACATTAGTCAATATTTTAAAGAATGATACCTCTCAGAAAGACTGTGGCTATTATTTAAATATTAATGTAGTTTTGAATAGAATTGCAATGCTTAACAAGTTTAAACACCTGGACTTCCAAAAACTCAGTGACAACTATATAGTCTCCCCCAAGGAAAATATGTATAAAACTATATGCATAAACCTGCAAATAATTTCAGGGCCTCATGGACTCTCTGAAGTATGCCCCAGAGCTCTCTAGAATTCCATGGTGCCCTGTTAAGGACTACTACGAAAAGAGCAAAAATTCACAGCCCTCTTATTTTCCCAGTAAGTCAAGCTTAGAACCTCAATTCAATCTATTCCTTCTTATCCTATATCTAGTCACAAATTCCAATAAATGTGTTTTTTGGGTTTTTTTTACTTCACCATTTCCTTACTATTCCCAGTGAAGCTGCTCCTTTTAAACACTTATTACTTAATGCCTGAATTGTTATAGTGGTTTCTTAACTGATCTTTTGGGCCTCAGTCCTTTCCTCTTTAGCAAATCCTGAACATCACTACCACTCAGTTTAAAGCACCAAATATTCATTGAAGATATACTAGGTTTTAGATATGTGCTTTTTGCTGGGGTCACAGAGAGGAAACATGTATAGCTCTTGGCCTTAAGTAGTTTACAGGCCAGAGGGGGAAAAAAACAAATATTTTTCATATAAGTGATATTCAGAAATACATGCAAGATACCAGGAGAACTTTTTCCAACAGGGAAAAGGAAAGATGTTTGTGTGATCTTGCATGGAAAGATCAGAAAATCTTTATAAAACCTAAACTTGATTTTAAGGACCAATATAAGTTATTCAGAAAAATAGGGATAGTATATTAGGGGTGTGGGGTAGGGAAGAGAGAAAATTTTCAGACCAGTTATTTAGCATGAACAAAGGCATTGTGACTATCAAATATATCTTTCTAAAATACTGATTTAACCATTCAACTCTCCTACTTGGATACTTTCAACAGTTCCCTACTGCATGTAGGACTTATCTCTGGATTCTTTTAAAGCCCAGCTCTACTCCTTCTTTCAGAAAGCTTCTATCTACAATTCCAGTTTCTGGCATTCCCTCTGTCCTACCCCCCCCCCCCCTTGCATGAACCTAAGTGGCAAAGGAAGTAAATGCCAAGAGGTTTAAGAGATTAATAGTCAGGAACAGAGGAGCACAACATATGCAGGCCTTGATGAGTTCAAAGAGAAATTTAGAAACAAAAGGACAGTATATAATCTATTAGATATCTATCTCTTTTAAAAGTTCAGATAGAATTATATGGAGTCACTGGAGTACACTTTTCTCTCTGAAGTTTACCCTCTCCCTTAGAAGCATGACATAGAGAAATTAGTATTTATGATTGCTTCCTGAGATAATCCTTTGCAATTTCCATTTTGTATTCACTAACTAACATTGACCTTAGGATTCTATTTATAATTCAATAACTAGAGCATTATCTGTCAGAGGTAATTAACATATATTTTAATTATATAATATATACCATCATAAGTGTTTTGGGATTTTTTTAAATTCTTAATGAAAAATAATGGAAGATAAATATTTCAAGTTTCAATCTGGAAAAAAAAATTAGAGAAAGACTAATTGGCATAATAAAAAGATAATAATACATTTTAATCCCAGCATCCTAGTTTTAAGGTGTATAATTCTCATTTCTTTCAGAGAAAATTGAGTTCTTAAATTCAGTCCTCATGGTGAAGCAATGCTAGCATAGCTAAGACCTGCCTTTGTGTCCATAAAGTACACTAACATTTCCAAATGCATTTTTCTTTTCATTTGTGTCAATAGATAGCCTTCTCAAACATTTCCTGTCTTTCAGCTACCTATTCAAATTCCTGTGTAAGTGGAAATGTAAGAACCAGTATTAAAAAATGACATTACCAACCTAGGGAGGCTTATTTCCACTTCCTCTTCTTGCATCTCAGAGAACCATTTCAGGATGTGGTGAGCAGTAATTTGTTTTTCCACTTCCTCTATGTTCATATTTTTTGCAGGAAGTATAATGATTAAACTAAATTCATCATCTTTATAAGGCAATTCCAAAACCTGGTAGTTCATGGAAGGTTCAGAAAAATATCCTGAAACAGAGAAAATAAAATATCAAATATATTTGGCAATTCCGAAAGCTATGCTTTAAAATGTGATTTCTCATATTACCATATTTTGTTCTTAGAAGAGCCTTCATCATTGGAATTTTGACTGCTGAGCCATCTTTCTTAGTAAAATTCATCAGCTGTGTGTCCTCTTTCCTGAATTTCTGTTTCCAATCCCCCTTGAAATAAATAGCATTCACCAGGACAAGCCGAGTCAGAGGACCAAATTCTTCACCTGAAAACATGTCTTTAATTTTTCCTATGAAGGAGGTAGGAAGAAATATGAAATAGTGATTCAGTGGAACTGCTTTGAATAAAATTAAAGAAAAATGTTTTTTGATGATCAGTTTTGGACAGGGTGTCTTATCATCTAAACTTAGCAATTTTGAGAATAAAAGGGAATGCTATTAACTATGTCACTAAGAAACAGGTAAAAATGGAATTTCACTAGGAAATGAGAAATATGAGACTGTTTTTGGCAAACTTGAACAGACCTAGTCATAGACTCTTTTCAGTGAGATTTATTTACATCAATTGTCTTTCAGACAGAAAGAACAAAATCAAAATATGTCTTCCTTTATATTTATTGGTATTATGAACACTGTATTTCAAGGTCCTTCAGCAGGCCAATCATAATTAATAAGTTAATGGTATGCCCAAACTTGCCACTCTTGCACCTGTAGCCACTGACCAAACAGACAAGAATGGAAGTTACTAGTATGATTTTCCTCTTCTATTTATATGTTCAATGAGTATTTACAAGTTATGAGAAATAAGCATGATTGGATGCCATGGAGCTGTCTAGTGACATCCTCATATTGTACCCCTAACACTTCCTACCACAACCATCTCACATTTCCAACTTATGCTTCCCCATATAAGGCTTCTCATAAACAATATAGCAGTATTTTACACCATCATGGTGTTTTGTAGTTGAATGAATAAATAAACAAACAAACTACTATTACTCAAGGGCTTGGTATGTGCTTGTCACTCAGCATGTATTATTATTAAAACTCCTAATAATCCTGAAATGTTTAATAGTATCCTCATTTTAAATAGAGTATAGCCTATATATTTCCAGGACTTGAACTCAGATCTATTAATATATGACTTTAAGCTTACTACATCTCTCTTTAGTAACTTTGGAATTTTGCTAGCTTGTATTTAAATTACTTTAGACTACCATCTTTATGATAGGATGATTAACATTTATTATTAAACATTAACACATTCAACTAAAATGTGTTAATTATTTGAAATATATGGGGGAAAGAAGGCATTTGGGATTGACATATCTAACTTCTACCTGGCCAAAAATATTGTTACTGCTTCCATACTTGAAAAATCCATGCTTGGACAAAATTATTATTAAAACTCTTTTATTAAGGATTCTATAAATAGGTGCCTCTCAAAAAATAATAAGAGAATCGATATACTTTTCAAAGCCTCTTACCATTTCTCAGTTTTACAATATAGTACTAATTTAAATAACAGTGAAATGAAATAGGACATTGGATCCCTCTGATCCATAGTGTAGCAGGAAAATATTCACCCATTCTTTACTTTAGGATATTAAAAACCATGAATACAATGGCAAATAATGATTTTATGAAAATGGGAAACTTTACCATCTGTTTTGCTTTCTACCCAGGTACTTATTGTCTCTGCACAAGCCTTTGCATCTTGAAAATCCACCAGTTTTATAGAGCTCTGAAAAAATTCCTTGTTGCCATAGAGATACTGTTCTTTCACAGTGAATCCTTCTTGAAGGTAGAGGGCATTGGCAAGATTAAATGTAAATTCTTGTTTTTTCTTTGAGATGGCAAAGAAAAATGACTTCAGTACAGAAAATTCTTCTCCTAAAAAATAATTATAATGTATACTGGCATATTGAACAACATAAAAACAACAGCTTTTCAGCTTTGCTATCTAAATGCTCTGATTCATATCACCATTTTTGTACCCTTAGGTATAACAAACAATCCTTTATAAGTTAGTATAAATATTTTAAGAATTTATCTCCTATAGAATATGCATTTTGTAGAGACATCAACTTTTATACAGGAAAAAGAATATCCATGTAAATTTGCAATTTGTCAAAAACAAGAGTATGTATTTATACAGGCTAAAGGGAATTTCCTCTTTTTAGCCACATTTAGCTCATTTTTAGGTGTTGGAAATGTATGTTTAGAATCTTATTCTTTACGTAAAATGAACATGTGTTATTTATGAAAAGGAAATGCTAATGAATTCTGATGGGGGTATGACAGTGATGAGCAATTCTTTTCAATTATTACTTTTATTTCAGCTTAAGAAATAATTGCTCTCTTATGAGCAACTGTCCAGGTTTTGAAATTTACAAGGCAACCCTTATAATCATCTCTAGAGATGCATAAGGATCAGAATTGTCTATTTCTTCAGGCTCATGAATCTATATTCTTTTGCTATCTACATGAACAATAAAAATCTTTAACCATTCCAACTATAACCACTAGCCTAAATAAGTCAGTCAGAGTCAACTAAAAGAGTCATTTTAGGCCTATGACTTATTTTTGGATTGTTCTGACCACAATGTTGTCAGAAAGCTGTTCATGCCTATGAGAGAAGTCTATTTGGAGATTTTGCTCCATAGCTTCTTATTCATTACCAAAGGGTAACAGCATTTTTCATTCCCTTCCAGCCTAGTCCTGGAACTCAATCATTAAGTCTGGGAACTCTATTTCAAATAACAGAATCTTTCAGGGCCTTCATTAAATTTTCAGTTAAATACCAAAATACCTCTTTCATAACTTAAAAGTTGATTATATTCAATTAATCTCTATTCAAGCAAAGAAAATCTGGCTGAGTGCAGTGGCTCATGCCTGCTATCCTAGCATTTTGGGAGGCTAAGGCCAGAGGATTGTTTGAGGCCAAAAGTTCAACAAAACAAATGGTTCATCATTGGAAGATACCAATTGAATAAAGAATTACAGAAAAAGTATTACTAAGAGGAACTTACTGCTAGATATCTATTGGAAATAAGGAGGGTGTGTGTGTGTTTATATGTGTACGTAAACACTTTTTTTTTTAATCAGAAGCTAGCAGCCCATAGAGAGTCTTTGTGCAAATAAGAATAGTGCCTCACTGCGGGAGGCTGCAGCTCCATAGTCTTACATCTTGTCCAGCTGAGTGGAGTCTACATTTTAGCCCCTATTGCTTCCTTGGCCTGTCGTTCTTATGCAAGTCTAACCTGCATAACCTTACAGGAAGCTCTACAAAGTATATTGCATCATGTTTCAAAATCCAGGATTCTCTATTCATTGAGATATAGAGACAGATATGAAAGCTCTTAGTTATAAAAACTTACTTCTATATGATTAGATCTGAAGACATTCAGTAATTCTTTACAACCCTGGAATTCCTTACATAAGGAAGGAAAGAAAGTTAATCTATTTTGCTTGTTTATGCAATGATTTCAGATGCAATCATTTATTGCTATTTGAAGCCTATAAGAAATATCTCAGTAACTGAGGGGCTACAGAGATGACTTTCTGCATAAAGACATGAGAGCTTCTCCAAAAGAATTAATTAAGGTCAGAAATGAAGTGACAGAATTTAAAACTAATTTTCAGGAATTTGTAATTTATGAACATCTTTAAAAGAGTAAAAAAATACCGATGGGAGAGAAAAAAATAGTTCCAACTCATTTGCCAGAGCAAATAGATTTATGTCTTATACTTAAGGTCTAAGACTGTGTGACAAAGAGCTGTCCTTTGATAAATCACTGGACTCAGAAGTCAATGAAAAAAATGTCACTATGTAGCATAATTTTGGAGTTGAATATAAAGTTATTGGCCTTATAAATTTGATTTAATTTATATATTAATGACCTCTTTTAGCACTGATTGAAAAGAATACATATGCATGGCTCCTAATAAGCAACGAGAACAAGTTTATTTCATTTCCTGAAATACAGCCATGGAGAACCTACAAGTCATAGGTAAGTGTAACTCTTGGTGTGGCTGTACCAGACCTCCAGAAAATGTTCTGAAATGTAGTGCATGTTCTCTTCTACTGCTCGTAAGAGGCCAAAGGCCAATTTTGTGTGCATGTGAGAAATCCAAAGATGTAAACAAAGGTAGCTGTAGGATTACAGATTATCTCAACCGAAAGGTACAAATAAATTACCTAATCCAAACTCTTCATTTTACAGTGAGGAATGTGAGATCCAGAAAAATGAAGAAACTTGAAAGGGACATGATTGTGGCAAATCCAGAGCTGGGACAGGAATTCATGTCCCATTCTCTTTTCTTAACCCTCTTGGAATAAAGCACCTTCATTCAGCCTTTGATTAGTCAGCAGCATTTTTGGAGGTAAAGAAAAATGGAGCATTATCAGGCGTTTAGCAAAAATGGAGAAGGTAAATTCTGAGCAGATGTTTTGAAAACGGGAGAAAGAAGAACTGAGGGCACTGGGAGCCCCAGTGGTGTTAGGATGCCAGCAGCTATGCTCCCATCTGTGGACTCCATAGAATAAGCTAGGTGTCACCATGGAGCAATAGGGCTGGGATTGGGGATCGAGGGCAGAAAAAGTAAAATAGAGACTGAATTAACAGATAGCGCATTTTGAAAATTAGTAGGGGATTAAAGGCAGGGTCAGGACTAAGGTGAATCAATGAGACATTCACCCTGGGCAAAAAATTTAAGGACATGCCAAAAACTCAGTAATCAAGATAAATAATGTTCCAATGCAATATTTTTTTTAAAAAAATATAAAACAAATGCAAAAAATCCATGATGAACAAAATATAGAAATTTTAAATAAATACAGGATTAGTATTCCTGATTTTTCCTTGTGTGTCTGGTTCCACTCTGGCTCTGCCAGGTACCACCTTCTGTTCTACCTTGCCCAAGACTCTTATACTCTTCTTCCTCCAGACTCACTGGAAGGCCTTTTCTTCGTCTCTTTGACATTCATTCACTTGGTCAGTCTGTTCCACTTCTTAACTCTGTCTCTTCTTTTCCTTTATTTCTTCATTTTCCCTTTTCTTATTTTCTAGATTTTATTTTTCAGATTTTCTACCTTTTTGACTATCTTTCTTTTTTCTTAGCACTTTTATCCTCCATCTATGGTTCTCTCTGTCCTTTAACAACTAGTTGGGGAAACTAGTTTGGTAGACTTTGTTATATGTATTTAAATGCTAAGTTTTAATTGTCTATATATACTCTTCCAATGAAAACATAAAAATTTTTATTATTGCTTGTATATTTTTAACCCTCATTAAATCATTTTTGGAATTAGTCCTGAATAAATTAATTTTTCTTTGCCTCAGTTTTATTAGGGGTATGCTTAACTCACACAGTAATTATAAATATTAAATGAAATAATATATAGCAAGCACAAGGCACATAGAACAGTGGCTGATACACTATATGTATGTGTTTGATAGTGTCATCATTACTATTACTATGATTATTATGTTCACAATTAGAGTTGTTAAAACTTCTGTGTTTTTCTATAAGATGCATCCATTTAAAGTAATTTAGTTTTCAGAGGCTCTAATTTACATTTCTGCATAAATGTTCTATTACTTTTCAAAGCAGTATCATGTGATTTAAATGTTTCTGGAAGTGGTATAGGAGGATTTGCTGAAGTTAATAGAGACTAAATCTGGAATACAGTGGCTTCATTATACATTATTAGCAAAAGGAAAATTCTTGCAATTAACTTCATTATCACCAACTTCTTTTCTGTATAAAAGTGTCTTTATTTATAATGAAGCAAATACAATCTTGTAAATAGTATTTTCAGAAAAATAGATTGCTAAATCAAGCTACTATATGCTAGGGAAAACATATAGGAATTAGTTATAGTTATCGTGACAAAATTTCCAAATAAAAAAATCCAGATTGTTTCTCTGATGTTTAGGATACATTATCTGACTAACATAAAAGTCTAAAATTAAAACCACTGAAGAAATTGAGAGCATGAGATAACCAGGGAAATGGACAGCAACTCTTTCAAATGAAATGCCAGCACAAAGCACAGTATTCCAGTATGTGAGACACACAGTATCTCAAATAGACATTTGGAAGACTCCAAAGCGACCACCACCTACAAGCACAAAGCCCTCTGATATATTATTTAAATGCTTTTTTCTCATTTAATTTTCTTTCAAAACTATTAACAAATAAGCTCTTAAAATGCACAAATTAATGCTTTTTCTTGGTCTCACTGTGGGTCAGAGTGCCATTATTTTCATGAAGGAAATGTTGGAAATTTATTGAAGAAAGGATAAGTAAGTAATGGTATTTTCACAAGAGGCAGTAAAATATAATAATTAAAAATTATACTTTGAATCAGTTGCATGATCTGTGAAAATGATCAAAACATAGCAAGTAATAGTGGAAGAATATGTATGTATGTGTATATATGCATAGCATATGTGTATATATAAATACACACAGGCATACACACCTGATATGCTCTCAATTAATTAAAACTGGCTAAAACAAACAGACCAAAAGAAAACGCACAGACATATAAATAATTTTTTATATCTGTAGTGATATTAATTTCTTAATAAATTATTTTTATAACATTTGCTTAGGAAACAATTATAAATGAATAAAATTACTTACATTTACAATTCTCCACTTTAATATAATTTTGTACTTTTTCACTCATTAAAGTTCTGTGACCCTAAGTTTTTTCCTAATATGTTAAAAATAAATTTGGCCATATCTTATCCAGTATAAATAAGCATGTGTAAGACTCTCACCAGTTGAGGTTTCTTGTAGTTTCAAACTTTGTCTTATCTGTTGTTGTGCTTTTCCTTTTGCTCCCAATTGTACCATTCCAAGAACCAAAGTTGTTCCAAGGGGGGAAAATATAATGTTGCTCTTATGAGATAAGGAAACTGCTTGATAAAGATCCACTGCAAATTCTATATTTTTTTGAGCCATGAGTCTTGAGGTTTGATGTCCAAAAACAATCAATAGGAGACTCCACAGAAAGATGTTATCCATCTTGACTTCTGTGCATTGTTTAATTCAAAATGTATTAGTTTTCAGAACAGAAGTTTATTATACTAAGCTCAACAGAAAACTTTCTGCCTATTGTAGCTTTCTATTGCATTAGTACATGCTACCACAAGAAGACACTATGTAATGCCAGTTCTCTGACTAAGCATCATCTATTAGGAGAAATAGTCCATTTGTTACTGGTAACTTCAAAAGCAGTACAAAATATATTTGCACTTTTATAATAAAATCAAAAGAGAAACTGTAATTATGAAACATTATCAATGCCAATACTTTGTTCAAATATTTATATGATACTTTTTTCTATTTTTTCTCATGGTTTTAAATGGGATACCTTTAACTCTTATATCAAGACAAATTTTTGTTTAGACTTCTCTAAAAGGGTTCATAGATCAAGAGGGGAATTGGAATAATAACAAAATACTCCAGTATGATTTGGGATGTATAATATGAGAAAATTAACGTATTCTAAATTAACTGAGTATCTGGTTAGCTTTTGATAACAATTTCATCATACTTTATTTCTTAAGCCAAAATACTCCGAAGCTCACCTCTTAGTTTTCCAAAGGAAGAAAAAAGCTATGCAAAAAATTGTAAAGAAGCAAAATATGTACCCTATAAAGATATACAACTTTTATGTACCCATAATACTTAAACATTTTTAAATATTTAAAAAATAAACAAAATGAAAAATGCAGATGGCACAATAATAACAAAGAAAGAAAGCAATTTCAATATCAAAGAACAATTTGATTAAAAAATTAACAAATGTAAGAATACCAGCAATTGAAAACTATAAACAAGCCACAAAGCTAATGATACCCTATTAAATTGCTCTCCATTCAAATTGCAGTAAATTCAACTATCTGATTATATCTTGAGCAAAATTAGTTTTGTAATATTGCCACATACTTGGTAAATCCTGACTCCAAGGCATGATAAATATTAGTAACACTTACCTTACAAATAATACATGTTAGTAATCCTTAACAATTCATTAGTAGGTAATTAGGAAGTAATCAACCCTTCATGGGGTAAAGATTAAAGCCTGCAGAATAGGGTGATGTTAGGTGAAAGTGAAGACATGCACTTCTAGAGTGTTTTGCAGCTCATTCAGGGGCCACCATAACCCATAAATGGATTAAGAGTCACTAAGAACAACTATTATATAAAAATTACTACAAGTCAAATATTCTTCCAAACTAAGATACAGAGTCATTATTTAGGTATCTCAAATTCCTTTCTTATATATATAGTTCAAATCTATTTGTTTAGAATTTTGCAGAAGACAAAAACCTCAAAATGTAATGTAAAGCAATTGTTAGAAAATCATGTGTTGATAAACTGCAAATATAGACATATGCTATAAAGCAAATGTGAAATAGTACATAAGGTTATGAGTGGAAATGCAACAATAGTAAAAACCCAATGAGTAAGAGAAATTTTACATGAAAATAAATGTTTATGTATCATTATGTTTTGATACATTCAATTGCTCAGAAGATTTCGAACCAATATATCTGTTTGTAGATATGTAAGTAGTCAAAATGTTATTAGTACTTTTAAGTCATCAAGAGGCAATTGATTAGGCACACCTTCATGGACTCTGTTTATATTAGAGTAAGAAATAATATTATGAAAAATATAATTTTTTCCTAAGATTCTACTGAATCTTTGCATATAGTTGTCTTTTCTTTATCATTAAAATCTTAATATTTAAAATTTATATTCTTTGACCATCCATTTTACCCAGAAAATTTTTATGCACTTAATAAGTTATAACTTCAGATAAATACTTGGTTTTAAAATTCACTTACCTCATTTAGTTTTGGACCATATCTCATTAGAAAGCACAACATATTGGTGAACTAAACAACCTGATATGAGAATTGGGCCTCTTAATTTATACTGAAATCTTTTAAGGAGAATAAAAATAGCGTGTTAATTTAAAAATTCAAATGATATCTGCACCATAGTGAGTTGAAATGCCATTCCCCTACTTTACTAAATATTCATAGTCAATGTTATTGCATACATACTTCATTCAAAAGCTATTTAATTTTAGGGTACTTACCCCAGATTGGCTTCTAATTATTCCCTGGAATGTTACAACTAATATATGCTTGCTGGGAAACACTTGTACATGAGCACCTGATCAGTCAAGGTCAACTGTATTTATCTTGAACGTTGCTTGATTAATTTTTCTAGAACCAGAGCAGATGTTCACTATATTTGTATAAAAAAACTAACATGGTTAGGTTAATGATAAACTGATGAAATATGCAATAACTGAGAAATTAAACAATAATAGGATTTTAAAATCATTGTTTAAATTATTATGTCATCCATTATTTCACTTTTTTTGGAAAGTAGAAACGGAATTTGGAAGAATGTGCCAATGGTTGTAAATTTGCTGATAATTAGTTCTCTTTGTTTCTCACAGGACTCTCATATCAGATTTCCAATGTACCCCAGCATAAATATTTCAGAATGCCTAGGAGAAAAAGAATAAAACTAAATCAAGTCTAGAATTCAGAGACAAATTACTGCCACATTTACAGAGTTCTCAACAATTCATCAAATTATACAATAGTCGGAGGAGTTTCCTGTGGGTATAAGGCCCTTTTTTCCTTAGGGAAAAAAGTGGATATTGAATAAATATATTCTTTATTTTGAACAAAAAGAACAGATTAAGATTATTGATTTACCAAATTATATCAGGATAATACTGTTAACCATAGGTAATTTGGTAATAAATGTTGGTATTACTTTCACACGCTTTTAAAATTCTACATGATTTTCTCTATAACAGGTCATTAATAAAAAATAGGTGCATAATTTAATGGTTTTTTTCTCATTTTTGTAGTTCAAATCAATCACCTCAATGGCAATCATATATTAAGAACATTGTATTATTCATCAGTAGCCTCTGAAAAGAGAAATGGAGAATTTGGTCTGGTTTTAAATGAACAAATATTTCATTGTTGATCATCAAATATAATATTATTTCTGGTAAACTCATGTAAAAGAAATAAAATGTGTGTAGATAGCTTTAAAAGGAATTTATTTTTTAAAACATTTTTTAAGACCTTATTGATCTCTTTCAGTGTCCTAATAATGGCTATATCTTAACAACAGGCCTGAGAAGCCTGATGACTGATATAGGCCATAATCTCCTAATTAACAGAATTCTTAGTTACTCATATAGGTATCTCCATATGTGTTCTAAATTTTGGGTTTTGCTTTAATGTTACTTACTCAAACATAAGCAAACTCTCTTCTAGCTTTAACTTACACAGTTACAGATAATTTTCCAAAAACAGAGTTGTGCAACACAGGAACACTATCATCCTACTTATTCTACACTGAGAAACATAAATAATAAGTCTGAAGGTCCAAGACTGTCATTCAATCAGTGCTTTTCTACCTATATAGTGTCACCGGCAAACATCTATCACCAGTAGCCCTGGCTACCACATTATTATGTCCGTACATCACTCAGATCACAATGTGATTTATCCAGGAACAGGCCATTACTTTTCCTTCCAATGGCAGAGATAGCCACTTTGTCCTACTAAAATCATTTAATAAATTTGTTCTGTAAGGACCCAATAATAGAGCAGTTCAAGCAGAATGTTCACTTTCCTGTCTCTTGGGGAGTAAAAAGCAATAGCCATGAATATGTCCTCATTGGTTTACACTCTTTTAAAAGACAATGAAGATACCACAATTGTCCATAAAATATTATTGCAACCCTTTTAAATATTATCACAAACGTGTTCCTTCTACAACTCTATTTTACCCTTAGAGAATCAGGAAAAAAATATTCATTATTGAGAGCCAAGTGTCTCTGTATAAAAAGAATAAACCTGGGAATATATATAAAAACAGTGGCAAAAGATTACAGTTATAATATCATCACCATTCTTAGCACTTTATAGTCTTTTTCAAAGTAAAAATGTACCTAATTTCAAACATTAAAAACATACAAGCAGGCCAGGCGTGGTGGCTCATGCCTGTAATCCTAGCTCTGTGGTAGGCCAAGGTGGGAGGATTGCTTGAGCTCAGGAGTTCAAGACCAGCCTGAGCAAGAGCGAGACCCGTCTCTATTATAAATAGAAAGAAATTAGCCAAACAACTAAAAATATAAAAAATTAGTCGGGCATGTTGGTATGTGCCTGTAGTCCCAGCTATCTGGGAGGCTGAGGCAGGAGGATCGCTTGAGCGCAGGAGTTTGAGGTTGCTGGGAGCTAGACTGATGCCACAGCACTCTAGCCTGGGCAAGACTTTGTTGAGAAGAAAGAAGAGAGAAAGAAAGAAAAAGAAAGAGAGAGAGAAAGAGAGAAAGAAAGAGAGAACGAAAGAGAGAAAGAAAGGGAGAAAGAAGAAAGAAAGGAAGGAAGGAAGGAAAGAGGAAGGAAGGAAGGAAGGAAGGAAGGAAGGAAGGAAGGAAGGAAGGAAGGGAAAGAAAGAAAGAAAGAAAGAAAGAAAGAAAGAAAGAAAGAAAGAAAGAAAGAAAGAAAGAAAGAAAGAAAGAAAGAAAGAAAGAAAGAAAGAAAGAAAGAAAGAAAGAAAGAAAGAAAGAAAGAAAGAAAGAAAGAAGAGAGAAAGACAAACATACAAGCAAATGTTGGCATCGATAAAGAACTTAAAAGTTAATTCTCACATTTGAGAATGGCTTAATTTCAGGCAATTTTTCTCTCTCAGTTTGTTCCATATATTTTGTGTGATAAGAGGAAAATGTTCTGAAAGAAAAAAAGGTTAAATTATGTTTAGTATAAATCTACATAATACAAACAAAGTAGCTTATTGAAAATTATGACACATTTTCTTTTAATGTGACAAGTTCCTTTCACTGTAGAAAAAAGATCTTAAATAATTGAATCTAAATGTTAATTTCAGAAATAGTTTATAATGTCTTCAGTTCTATTAACAGTTGATAGGTGAGACCCTGCTACCTGCCTAGCACAGTTAGATATTGCAAGGTACAAAAGAAGACTAGACATAATGACTACACGTCTTTTTTTTCTCCCATGTGTGTTTATTTTGCTCCAAATAATTAGGAAAAGTA